TGTTGCTGAAAATCAGATACGTAAAATACGTGACATCACTCATTTAGTAAATGATACAAAATGGACATAATGAGGGGTGACGAAATTTCTGCTTTGTGAAACTTTGCTGTTAGCGATTCTGACTTCCTTCTAGAAGGACTCAAATGTAGCAGTCCCTTCTAAACTTTTGATGTTGGCTGACAGTGCTCCCTTTTTTAGTTCTAAATAATTATATTTCTTCCATTCCCTTTGGGAAGTTCACACTTGTCCTTGGTTAGGTAATCTTTCTTTCATCCTCTTTCTATGTCCCTTTTCAAGCATTGCTCATCAAAGAGCTCCACGTGAAGTCCTATTATTTATTTAGATCCACCTCCTTTCTCTTCTTTTATGGGATCAGTTTCTGATTAGCAGCTGACCCAACCAAGCAACAACTTGAGGGCATCGGTCTCTATGGAGTGTCAGCCCTCACTAGAGTACACCAAGTGTCTCTTTGAAGTTCAATCTGTCTTTACAGATATATATTTAAGTAGCTGGTGAATGCATATTGGCAATTTCTCACCGAAGTATATGTCTTTTTCAAAAGGAAACTTCAAAAATGCTTCTCACCAATCCTGCCCCTACTAAATGGTCAAATATTTAAGGAATATTGGCTTTAGGAAGTGGCCAACGATTAGCCTCCCCAGGGGCCCACCAGTCCGCAAGGTCCTCACTGTGATTCCTTTGATCGTATTGACGGAATTTATCTTCAGGGTGTCAGCTCCCCTCCCTGCCTCTTCACCATTCTGAAAGATGTAGGTGTTCTCAGGAAGCAACGCGCGTGCGCATCACTCTCACACACCTCTGGGTTCAAATCCCAGCTCTACCAAAGACCAGCTGGCGGACTGGAAGCCAGTGGTTCTCAGCTGGTGAGGACTTTACCCTCCCGGGGACTTCTGGCAATGTCTGGAGACAGGTGTGGCTGTCGCAGCTGGGGGCTGCTACCTGGTAGAGGCTGGGGATGCTGCTAAATGTCCCACGATGGATGGGACAGTCGCGCAACAAGGAATTCTCGGACCAAAAATGGCAAGAGTGCAGCTGCTGGGAAATCCTGCTTCAAGAAAATAATGTGACTTTCTAAACCGTGGTCCCTTCCTCCTCTGTACAATGAGGGTAACAGTGGTCTGGGGCGGCCGTGGGTGGACTGCAGGGAGGACCGCTTCCAGCACATGTCGTAATGACTGGCACAAAGCCAGCATTGAGAAAAGGTCATTTTTTCTCTTTATTTATGTACCAGGTATTGTACTGGGTACTTCCTCAGATGTTATTAGCTTAATACTAAATGAGTAGTTCATTGACTCCACAAATGTTTTTTGAGGACTTTCTATATGCTAGGCACTGATCTGGCAGGTACGAATTGATTAGTTAAAAACAACAGCAACAACAACAAAAACCCCCCCAAACAACCAAAAAACAACAAAAAACTCCTGCTGGAATCCAGGCCGTGGGGGGTGAGGGTGGGGGGGGTGGTTCAAGGAATGTGCCCAAGGTTCAAGGCTAATGAGAGGCAAGCCCAAGATTCAAATCAACCCAGCTGCTGCGTCCCCCTCAAATCCTATGTTGAAACCCCCCCCCATGTGATGACATTAGGAGGCGGGGGCCTTGCGAGGTGACCGGGTGGCGAGTGGGGAGCCCCCATGAATGAATGACACCGGTCGTTCTCGCCCTTGCAAGAAGAGACAGGAGAGAGCTTGCTTCCTCTCCCTCTGCCGCGTGAGGACACACGGAGAAGACGGCGCCCAGAAAGCAGGCAGCGGGGCCTGACCAGACGCCTGACCTGCCGGCGCCTGGACTCCGTGGCCTGCGGAACCACAGAGAAAAGTCTGTGGCTGAAGCCTCCCGGTCTGTGGCACTCGGTTAGGGCAGCCTGAGCTAAGACGTGCGCTCGCCTGCCTCCAGGGCCTGCCCTCTTTGTGCCCACTGTCACCAGGCACCTGGTTTCTGATGCACCTGGTTGCAAGGTGCATGAGAAGTGCAGGTGGCACCTCCCCACCAATTTTATCGGCGTCGTCACTCCACCGTCTCACTTGTCCCATGGCCTTTTGTTGCTCTCTCCTGCTGCTCCTTCTTCTTAATTCAGCAAATGTTCTTGGGCCCTTGCTCCTTGTTAGGAGTCACCACCTGGGTCTGCGTGGAAACCCGGGTTGGTGCAGGCGAGGGTGGGTCTCTGGGGGACGTCAGTGCCCTGGGACTGGTGACAGCACCCCGCCTTCCTCTCCGGTGGTGACACCACCAGGCCATCTCCACCTCGGGATCAGCGGCTTCCTTACAGGCGTGTATAGGTTCTTTACACAACTCACCACCATACGCGCAGGTCATGTATGGGCACAGCAAAATTTTCCTTTCCTTTGGTGAATGGAAAACTCTGTGGGTTTTCCCAACACCTGAGGTCCTGTTACACGTTTCACTTGGCACAGATTTATCGCCTGGTAAATTCTTTTTTTTTTTAAATTAAAAAAAAATTTATTGGAGTTCAATTTGCCAACATATAGCATAACACTCAGAGCCCATCCCGCCAAGTGGCCCCCTCATTGCCCATCACCCAGTCACCCCCACCCCCCGCCACTTCCCCTTCCACTACCCCTAGTTCATTTCTCGTCTGGTAAATTCTTAGCTATAGAGGATGCTGCCTTTATGGCGGTATTTGCTCATGGCCTTGACGGTCCAGGCTACACTGTATATTGTAATTCTGCTCGGGTGTGAATTGAATCACGATTCCCGAAATACTGAGGAACCAGAGAGCGTTGTTAGTTACAGTGAGGGCACTTAGCAACCCCTCAGCATTTCTGTCAAAACGTGTCTCCGTGACTCTCGTAGAGCAGTCAAGTCCACTGCTGGGGTGTGTTCACGGTGCATGTGACGCTAGGAATACCACAGCGGCGTGTCTTCCAGAATATCATGCTGTCGCAGTGTAGAGTCTGTTCTGGTGGGACAGTTATGGCCCCAAAAGGAGCACTTAGGATTTCCAATTATTCGTGACTGAGTTGTAGGAATGCGTGTGGCGAGACGTGGGCGCTCACCAATGTCTCAGGACGTAGGATGCCTTCTGAATGCCAGGCTCTCCTCCGCCTCACAGCCACTTCTCGCTGCTGGTTAATGGGGTCCCTTGACCTCCAGCTGCACCCCTTCTGGGCAAGTTCATTTGATCTGCGTTAGGTGGTGCACTCTTGTCAAGGCAGACCTGCTGTCAGAACCCCACTTCACCCCGTACCAGGTAAGTCACTGTGGGGACTGGCTCTCTCAGCTTGTTTCCTCAACGGCAAGATGAGGATGATAATCATGGGTCTTGCCTCATTGGATGGTTGCGACATTTCGTTGTCACAGTTCCACGTGGGAAATGATTAGCACAATGCCTAAAGCAGAGTGGGTGGGCGTGGGTTTCCACCCTCCTTCCTTTGCCACCTGTCCACTGAGCTGGTGCCCCCCTTCTAGTCTTTTCCTGAGGATGTGGCCTTTTCTCTTCCTTCCTTCCTCCTTCTTTTTATTTTATTTTTTTTTAAGATTTTACTTATTTATTCATGAGAGACACACAGAGAGAGGCAGAGACACAGGCAGAGGGAGACGCAGGGAGCCCGAGGCGGGACTCGATCCCGGGATCCTGGGATCACGACCTGAGCCAAAGGCAGACACTCAACTGCTGAGCCACCCAGATGCCCCATTGTGGCCTTTTCCCCCTGGGGCCTCATGTGTCGCTCTGCTTGTCTGCTGCCTTGCCTGGCGTGTTCTGGTTCTAAGTTCAGGAATACGTATCCCTCAACTGCTCAACCTCTCTACCTCTGCCGCCAACATCTGCCTATTTTCACTCACTTCTCGGTAATGAAGGGCAGAGATGACGGCCCGGTAGTCAGGAGCACAGACCAAGGGATGCCTGCTGGGGTTCACGTTTTGGCTCCACCAATTACTCTCTGTGCCTCAGTTTCCTCACCTGTGAAATGGAGCTAGTCTTGTACGCTCTTGCCTGATCTTGATGATCTCATAGAATTGCCATGAAGGTTAATTTAATAAGCTCGTGTATCTAAGGTAGGACGGAGCTGGGCTTGCAGTAAGTTCTATATTAGCGTACATTATTGTTATTTTTATTATAGGTTAGGTCTCCTATTCTCCTAATTATCTGCCCCCCGCCCCGAGTGCTTTTTACAATCAACGACATCCTGGTCACCACTACCTGCCGGACCCAGACTCACCTCCTCCTTGGCCCGCACGCTACCCACCATCTTCCTGTTTCCATCCTTGGCTCACAATATAAATTCTCATAGTAAACAAACAAGCCAAAAAACCCAAAACACCGTTCTTTCATTGGCTCTACATTAACCACTTAAAAAGATGTAACCAATCACCTGGGGATTTTAATCTCGACAGTGCTGACCCACAGTAAGCAAAGGGCAAGAGTGACTCTCAGATTCACAATCACATACGGGTGGGGGGGGCGGGGGGGAGCCGGTGGCCTTTCTGCCACAATTTTCCAATCCTTGTCGGCCTTCTAATTTGCAAATAATATCAGCCAGCTTTCTCAGAGTGAGAGCAAGACAGAACCACGATGACGTGCGTAGACGAAGTTAAATACTGTCGGTAGGTGGGGGGCCTTATTGAACAAACGAGCAGATTTTACATAAAGAACTGGGGGGCAGACACTTGGCTTTACTTCTGTCTTAGTTTATATCACGCCCCGGATGATGCTGGTCCCGGCGCCTTCACTCGTGCAGAAGCCACAACCACCCATCACAGCGTTTCAAAGGCCAACTAGTGGCTTCAGAACCTGTCCCCTGAGCAATTTACCCCAAAGATGCTCTGATGACAGTTCTCTTCTGCATCCCCGAGGAGAGCAACCCGCCTTCTCTTGTACCCACAAGATACCGGTGACTGAGCCCAACGGCAGAAGTCCACCTGGTAACTTAAAAATCCAAGTTCACGTCACCTCGCATTCAGTCCTGTACCAAACACGCTCTTACCATCATACGATTAGGCCCGAAGCACGGAATTCTTACCTATAACTTTTCCTAGAAAGAGCGACTTGGGAGAATTGAAGAGTGTGTCCGAGGAACTTGGCAGATGGTAACTCACCGAAGGGTAATGATCGAGCTGCAGGGAGAGAAACGGGAGAGACTTTAGGAGACGGTTGCTAACCTGCACTTGGGATCGGATCTCGCCGGCAGGGTCAGCCACTCCGGGAGCCCCGGTGTGTCCCCACATCTTCCTTCCTCAGTGCTGACAACGGAAGCCAGCCCGGGAAAGCGGGACGCCCATCTATTCTTTCTCTGGGGTTACCTGAAGTCAGTTTGAGCTTGGAAGTGAAGACCCTTTATGAATTGTTCTTCAGCTTATGCACATTTTCTGTGGGTGATTTATGCCCATTTTCTGCTGGATTAGGATCCTTGCTCATTTTTTTTTTGGTTTGTTTTTTAAAGATTTTATTTATTCATTCATTGAGAGAGAGAGAGAGAGAGAGAGAGAGAGAGAGAGAGAGAGAGGCAGAGACCCGGGCAGAGGGAGAAGCAGGCTCCACGCTGGGAGCCCGACGCGGCACTCGATCCCAGGACCCCGGGGTCACACCCTGGGCTGCAGGCGGCGCTAAACCGCTGAGCCCCCACCCCCCCCCCGGGCTGCCCCCTTGCTCATTTTAATAAAGTAAAATCTGCTTCATCCAATCTTCAGTACTGACCCCTGAGATAGAGAATTGCTGCGTCTGTCACAATGGGTTTTCTTTAAGGTCCGCTTAGTGTCCTGTTTTAGTCACCGTCCCACACCATCAGCTTGCACACCAACAATGATCGTCAGTACGTATACTCAAATATGAATAGATCTATGAAAATACATATCCAGATGCTGAACTTCAAGTTGGATAAATATGTATTTATTTTGTTTTAACTTATCAAATGAGGAGGATGCCCCCACAGCGCAGGGACAACAGAGCCTGGAGGGGACAAAGACACCCGTGCTCCAGCTGGGCTTGTTCTTTCCGAGTGGAGGTGAGTTGGCAGTAGAGGGAGGGAGAAACGAAGCAGGTGGAAACGCCTTACAGATACGGGCTGTCGGAGCAAAGCGCCTTTCTGATCACATTTCTCATGAACAAAGTGCAAAGGCTGGTGTCCCCGAATCAGCGCCTCTCTTGTCCCCTGTGTCCCGACATGGCTTTTCCTGCCTTCGCTGTCTTTTTATAACTGATACAGTCCTAGGGGTGTTTCTCCCACCGCGGGGAGCATCTAGAGTCTTCTGTGCCTCTGCGTATCCGCCTGTGAAAAATCGCTTTTGTAGCCTTTTGCTTTTCTGAGGCGAGCCTCTTACCTGCTCAGGTGAGCGGAAACACTGTGTCACTGCCCAGCACAGGCGTTTGGGTGGGGATTGCCTGCTGGAGGCAGCAGCACACACTCCAGTCTCGGGCCCCACTCCTGGGTCCTTGTTAGTAACCGCCGAGGTGGGCAAAGCTGCAGGGAAGCGGGGCTGCAGTGGGCAGGAGAGGGGAGCTGGGAAGTGGGCCAGTCTCACTGGCCTCGCGGGGAGCTGGGGAGGATCATTAATCATTGGTGACCACCTACACCTGACTCCTGAAACCACTTACTAGAAACCCACAGATTCTTGAAAGCCACGGTTCAGAGTCAAGGACTCCTCGCATCTCGGGGATTTGGGGAGTTCTGTTAAATTCTGGTGGGTGGGTGCTGGTGCAGCACCGTCACAGAGATCCGAAGAGCGCCGTGAGAGCAAACATTGGCCTGCTCGACTAGCATTCTCGAAAGTTTTCTATGATTTTAAGTGCATCACCAACAAAACACCTCTTGGGGCCAGAGAAGCTTAGATATTTATTTATTTATTTTTATTTATTTATTTATTTATTTATTTATTTATTTATTTTATTTATTATCATTCATTTATTTACTTATTTATTTTCTTTTAACTTTTTTTGCATATTTTTTTTTAAATTGGAGTTCAATTTGCCAGCATAGAGCATAACACCCAGTGCTCATCCCATCAACTGCCCCCCTCAGTGCCCATCACCCAGTCAACCCCACCTCCCACCCACCTCCCTTCCACCACCCTAGTTCGTTTCCCAGAGTTAGGAGTCTCCCATGTTCTGTCTCCCTTTCTGATATTTCCCACACATTTTCTCTCCTTTCCCCTTTATTCCCTTTCACTATTTTTTATATTCCCCAAATGAATGAGGCCATATAATGTTTTAAATCTCACAGAAAGTTCCTCCTCTGGCTGCTGTTAGCTGGCTGCTTCCGCGCCATCTGGTGGCTTATATGGGTCAGTGCTGCTGTCCCTCCGTTTCTTTGGTCCAAAAGTTTTTTGGGGTCAAAAAAGGTAACCGTGGAAGGCCTTCATCACAGGTTACCCTGCCTGCTTCACAGCGATGATCTTCCCCTAAATACTTCTTACACCTACATCTGTCTTGCTAAAGAGCTTAAAAGTGAACACAAACAGATGTTCATTATAGAGAAAATAATAGTACAGATTTGCAGGGAAAAACTCCCCCCCAGTGATAATTATTTTTTTTATCAAGTCAGTTTCTTAAAGTATAATGTATATTCCTTTGATTTTTTTTTACGACAATCGAATGGAACCCAACTATATATTATTTTCCATTTACTTTTCATTCCTTAAAGGGGTGTTATTAAATCTGTCATTCAATAAACGTACCGCTAAATCATCATTTGTCATGAATGACTGTGTTCCGTTTTATGAATATATTGTACGTAATCTTACAAACTACCAAACTTCAAATTCCAATGCTTAGGGCAGCCCGGGTGGCTCGGCGGTTTAGCGCCGCCTGCAGCCCAGGGTATGATCCTGGAGACCCGGGATCGAGTCCCACGTCGGGCTCCCTGCATGGAGCCTGCTTCTCCCTCTGCCTCTCTCTCTCTCTCTCTGTGTCTCATGAATAAATAAATAAAATCTTTAAAAAAAGAAAAAACAAATTCCAATGCTTAGACTTTTAGATTTTTTTGTGCGTGTGTCTTCTGAGCCAGGACAGTGCCAAGCCCATAGTAGGTCCTCAGTAAAAATGTGTGGACATATGTTGGTATAGAACAGTGCACCCAGAGTGGAATCGGTCCTCAGGTGTGGCCTGACCCACCCAGGGGGATTACCTTCCTTTCCTTGAACTGTTTTTATGGATCCCGACCGGACAGACTTGGCTTTTTGGCATCCATTTGATATTATTCGCACTGAGCTCACAGTAAAATAGAATTCCTACTTTGTCTCCATGGGTTACTTTCTGCTGTTCCCAGTCCTATATACACGCGGTTGAGAACCCGAACTAAAAGCTGAACTTGACATTAGGTCTGTTTTCCTTTGTTCTGGAGCAAAGGGTTTTGAATCTTGATTCTATCATTTAGAATATCAGTGACCCTGCCTGGTTTTGGTTTATCAGTAAGTGTCATGAACACTCCTGAGTCTCAATTCTTGAGGGAAGGGAGGTCTATTCGAGACACAGGCCCGGAGTGTGATCCCTCCGTTACCGTGCAGGCTGGTGACAAGCCCTCCAGATGTGAAATAAGAGGCCCGTGCACTTCCCCCGTGGCCTTCTGTCCCCCCTGCACACCCACATGAACACCTCCAGCGACCATGCACCTGCTCCCCACCTGCACTCCGGAGGTGGCCTCTTGCTCGGCCAGCAACCAGCCCGGCTCCAGGCTGGCCAAACCTCTGCTATCTGGAGGGCGGAACCACCACACCTCTCCAACAACATACGAAGCCCTCCACGTTTGTCCTTCCGGGGGTATCCTCCCTCAGCTCGGGGGTGCCTCTGCGAAATTCTATTGGAGTTTCCCCCATCATAGAGTTTGCCTTTATTGTAGTTAATTCCTAGATCAAACACCCCATGTTTAACCTACTATGCGGTTTCTATCTCCTGATTGGACCCAGACAGCTCTTGTAGGAAAGGAGAAAGCAGGTATTGAGCAGCTGCTGCATGCAAGGCTTGCTAGGCTTTTCACACCTCATTTACTGGGTATCGGATAGGTGTTCCCTTCTCCGGTGATACAAAAAGTGTCCAAAGTCAGAAAGAGAGTGAGTGATGGAAGTGACATTCTCACCCGGCCTCATCCGGCTACGGAGACGGACTGGTAAGCTGCAAGCCCACCGGCCTCCAGAGCTGGCCCAGCCCTCTCGATTAGGGAAGTCAGACGCTGGGCAGCATTTTATTTATTTATTTATTTATTTATTTATTTATTTATTTGGCAGCATTTTAAATAGCTGCGTTTGAAGGAGAAAATGCAATCAGGCAAGGCAAGAAAAGCGCAACCTGCAAAAGCCTAAGGACACTTGTTCCCTGGCCCCGGCCCGCCCCCCCAGTCCTATCATTTCACTCGCCTTGCCAGGGCGCCTCCTCTTTTCAATTTTTTTTTAATTTTTTATTTATGATAGTCACAGAGAGAGAGAGAGAGAGAGGCAGAGACACAGGCAGAGGGAGAAGCAGGCTCCATGCAGGGAGCCCGATGTGGGATTCGATCCCGGGTCTCCAGGATTGCGCCCTGCGCCAAACTGCTGCACCACCCAGGGATCCCCGCCTCCTCTTTTCAAATGAGCCCTGGTGCATTTGCCACAGTGAAGTGTCATGATTTCAAGGTAATTTCTTTGGGGTCCAAGTGAGCCATTTTGCTGCACATGTAGCTGGTGTCATTTCACCGGCAGTTAAGAGGCAGTAAGAGGTTGTGTAACAGAGGCCCGTTCAAATTAAAGACTGCGACTCCGTGTGCCCCAGGACAACCTTAAGGGACAACTAATTGGTTCAACATCTATCAGGATACTGACTGGGGCTGGGGCTCTGGGGCTGAGTCCTACAGGCTGAGTTGAGAGCTTTAATGTTGGTTCAGGCATTATTTTACAATTGTGGTTCATTTCCATTTTAAAGTCACAGTTGGCCTCGGCAGAGCTTGAAGGATTTCATCAGCTTTGCTGATGTTTGGGAAGGTGAGACGGAGCAGCAGGGAAGGATCAGAGAAGAAAGACCACAGTGTGGGTTTGGTCCCTCCGCTGGCCCCATCCCAGGTGAAGGCACAAAATGCTGCCCTGAGGGCACGTCCTGGGATGTCTGGCCTCTTCATCCTTAGTCTGAGGTAACACGTGGAATTAGCTCAGAC